TCAGCAGGTGGGGTGAGAGGATTTCCTTTTCTAAAACCTGTATTTGAAACTTTTCTCTAAGCTGAGAATTCTTAAGAAAGGAAGACATCATAGAATTGGGTTCAAAGGGTTCATAGGTTTTGAATGAAAAGAAACCTCACGCCACAGTGCTCCTCTGGGGAGATGGGCGAGGGGAGGTGTGGGAAGCAGTGGCCGCGCTGCTGCTGATGGGTCTCTCCCGCTTGTTGTCTGTCTCCAGGCCCTGGCCGACTTGGTGCACTCACACATCCAGTCCAACGAGCGCTGCTCCACGCAGCTGACCCTGAGCTGCCCGCTCTGCGTGAATCCCGTCTGCAGGGAGACCAAGTACTTCTTCAGCAGCCAGCAGCTGTGACCCCGCCAGAGCACCGCGGGGATTTGGCAGGTGCCCAGCCTCCAGACACCTCTGAGGTGGAGGAGGATGTATTTAGCATTAGGGAGGGAGTCACACTGATGTGGGCGTAGCCTTTGGCCACAAATTGTGTACCTTCTTGAGGAATAGACTCTGAAATCCTTATTGAGGGGTATTTTTATAGACCAAGACAGTAAGCATTTATAGTTCCCCTCTCTGGGTTAAGTTGTTACTAGTTTGGAATGTCCACTAGGCTGTTTTTAAAATTTATGAGATGCACACGTATTTTCAATACCGATTTTGGTTTTATTGCCCCCCAAAACCCCTGCAGGGGTACAGAGAGTGCCCTCTGTAGGCTGTCAGAGTGAGTGAGGTCTGTTTACAATCTCATACTTGTTTTTTAAAGTGAACATAGTTGAGTAAATGAAATATAATTTGAAAAAAGAAAGGGTACCTAATCTTTCCGTCAGCCCGTGGGTTACAGGATGCTGGTCCGGTGATGTGGTTCCTACAGTGGCTGCTCTTGCCAGTGATGTCACTAGTAATCGGTCATTTTGGTCCTTGTGTGTGAACTTCACTTTCCTCACCATGAAACCGAATCAAGTGTAGGTTCCAAAAGTGCTTTGAGATTCCCCAGGCACACAGGGCTGATAAACGTGTAGCAATCCCGCATTTGTCATCCCCACCTTGGTGGGAATCGTTGGTGCCACAGGAGAGGGGGCTGGAAATGCTAATGAAGGGCTTCATGTCCAGAGCTCCTCTCAGGACCTCGTGGACCTTTCCATTGAGCATCTGCTTCATCTTGGTTGAATGTCCCCTTTCCGCATATTTGTTTGAAGATTTATTTTATAAAGTCAACTATGTTTGGTAACCTCAAATTCTTAATTTACAATTTTTATTATAAAAATTATACAACCATGCTATAGGAAATTTAAAAAATAGAGAAAAGGAAAATAACCACTCTAATGCAACAAATATTATTCATATTATTGTATTTCATGTTAGTCTTTTCCTGTGGATATTTTAGATGCCATTGTAACCTTGAATTTGTGAGTGAAAAGTTGTCCTAAAATGTAGAAATTATGTAGGATCAGAGTCAGATCTTCTATACCTGGATTTATATGGATTTTAAAAATCTCTAATGGATCCATAGTGAATTTGTAATAATTACTTTCTCTTTCCTTTAAGCCTTATAACTTTGTTCTTTGAAAGTTCATTTCTTTTTTTTTTTTTAAGCCAGTGAAGGTATTAGTGGAGACATAGATCTTCTATATTCAATATTTACTATATTAATAAATATGACATCATTAAGGTTTTAACCAGTCTGATTCATTCTCTCTGTTAAATCAAAAGTAATCCAAATTCATTACTAATCAAAATTATTAAATAAGAGGAATTTACTTTGTAGTACAAGAAAAGAAACATGCCATCCACGTTAGTTAATAGTTTTCCCACACTGATAACAGCTCTGAAATTTGAGTAGCATCTACACTTTTTTTTTTTTTCCAAATTGGCTTTCCTTTTAGTAGATTGTGTTTCCAGAAAAGGGTACAAGGCGTAGACAGTTGTTTAGAATTTTCCTCTTCTGTTTCCACCCACTTTGGGGGGACTAGGTTCAAGGTAGGCTTTGAGTGACCTTGGCGGGATGGGGTAAGGAGCAACTCGTGTGTTAGCCAGAGGGCAGAGTTTAAAGCTGGCGGCTGTAAGAAAGAACTAACATCTGTGTGTGTACGCGTGTGCTGGTGTGTAAGCCTAGAGCCCTTGACTGCACCCTTGGTACTGCATCTCTAAGCTCTCAACCCCGCCTATAAAACCCCTTCTGTCGGATCCTGAAGATGGCCCAGGAACATGCTTCCCAACATTGGGTGGGAATGGGAAATTCATTGAGATGTTGCAAGCTGGAGAAAGAAAATTCTGAGTTGACCCCAAAACTAGTGTCCTAAATTAAGGTCGTTCAGTTTCTCCGTCTTAATATGGAAATCCTCAGAGAAAGACAAAAGCTAATCTTTTCTTTCCTTATTTCTAAAAATTATAAAATTAAAAACATTTCATCAAGGTTGTACCCCAGACTTTGTAAATATCATTCCTAGGAGTGTTGTTCTAATTGCCTAATAATTGAGATTCCATTGTAAAAAACCCCTTCAGTAACTTCTCCCAGTCCAGATGGCTTTCTGTGACATTCAGCTTTCTTTTTATAGAAGCTAGCATCATAAGGTTTCAGGGAATGTACATCAAATGAATTAAGCCTGAATATCGGATGGCTCAAGAAAACTGAATTCTGCTTAAATCATTGCCAGTTGAGATATTTAATTATGTCATAATTATATTGAAGTTTTGTGTGCTTGCTTTCTAACATTCCTGGTTAATTCCAACAGTGGCACCTGGAAACTTGATCTTTTTTTTTTTTTTTTTCTGCTAGATTTCTTCCAGCTGGACAGTTGTGTGGTATGACTATTATCTAATCTTTGCCTTAAAAGGCATGCTCCTTTTCATAATACACTTATTTTGGAAAGTATAAAGTGTGCTATATAAAGCTATAAGGCACCGAGGTGAGTGGTGGGTACCGGTGGGCACTCAAGAGAAAGAAGCTGATGCTGTCAATATTCGCTGAATGGCACCAATATGACCAGCAACAGCAGTGGGCGCCCTTTAATGGAACCGTGGCTCCCAGCGTGAGATGAGTCTTAGGAGGGGTCTGGGGAGTGGGTGACCTCCAGAGAACACATTCATAATCTAGGCTCCCAGGAGAGGAAGAAGTGTGTCTGCCTTTGCTGTGGGAATCTTATTAAGCCTTTCTACCAGGAAGAGAAGGTGGAAAACAAATGCACCCGTGATAATCAGTTTCTCACAATACACTCTGATAGTGTCGGCTTAGTCATTTCTAGCTGAAATCATTAGCTTCCATTTTTAGCATTAACAGCTCCTGGCTAAATTAGTCTACAGTAAGCCATTAGGAGGGATGTTGGAATTAAAAACATTTTTGGAAAAAAGCCTGGTTTGAACCTGTGTTATAAGCCCTTGGGCAGGAGTCGCCGGGTCCTGTTTCTGGTTGTTTGACAGCTGTCACTCTGATGTTCCAGGTGCTCTCTCAGCAGCCTGCTCCTGAAATGAAATCGCGCAGGCAGGCTTTTTCCTTCCACTCTCCCCAAGGGGTTGAAGCTTTACTTTCCTGACATATTAAGAAATAATAGATTTTACCCTGAGAATTCATGAGGTATTTTTGCCTTTTCCTTATTTTAAAAAAAATTATATACATGAGATGGGATTAACTGCGCAGGCATACAAGCAGGGGCTTGCTGGCCAATTGTTAAAATTTCAGGTTGTTACACATAGCAATCATTAAAAGTGTTATATCTTGCAGTTCAATTATGTTTTAAAAAGGAACAAATACTCAAAAATCATTTCCCTATTATTTTACTGTATTTTATCATCTTTATTCTAGAGGTTATTTATGTTTATGATACCTATATGGTGAAAATACTACATAATGATGATGAGCTACTGTATGTCTCCAGCTTTGTTCAGTGAAGGTGTTGGTAGCTTGAAATTGGCTACAGTAGGGCTATTGACATTTGGAAATCAGCAAATACTACAACTTAGGGCTTCCTTGATTGTTTTGTTGATTACCTAGACTTAAAGTGGTGGAAAAAATGTTCATACATATTAAAAGTTGTCGTGTCTCTAGGCATTACATCATGAATAGCACAAAAATTTGAGGAAATATCCTCCCATTATGTGAAAACTAATAGCCGATTTATCCAAGTGAAGTTTTGATATACAAAGTTGTTTTACATTTGTATTACTCATTAATGTAAATAAAAACATCAGCATTCATGTCAGAACTATATAGGTTGGCTACAGATGCAAGAGCTTGATAAAAGTCAACAAAAGCATTCTTTGAGAATTAATTGATTATATGGAATTTACAGTAAAGAGAATTATGTATTTTAGTATTACTTGTAAATTGTGCATCCTATATCTTTTATACTGGTAAAAGTTATAATAAACATACACACATGTATGTATAGATTGGTTTTTCAGAGAGCTGGTTGGTGACCATTTACCAAAACACTACTGCCTCAAACGGAACTTTTCTGGGATGATGGACGTGGTCTATGTGGATCGCATACTTGCACTGTTCCCAGATTCATTATATATAGAGAGGTAGCTCGCTCTGTAGATTGCTGTCTCTTTCGAGTGGAAGCTACCCCATGGTTACTAGAAATTTTAATCTTTTTAGTAAGATGCCAGTTGTGTCCAACAAAATCCCACGGGCCTGTTGTACTAACAGGGGCCCTGAGAAGCGAAGGTTTGCTTATATTTGATAAACATCCTTATAGACAGAATCTTTGGATATATTCTCAGTCATTTCCACAGGAAATATCCCTTAGAAGTGGGTTTTCTGGATCAAAGGATATTTATGCAGATTTTTAAAAGAGGGTTAAATATGTGTGTGTGTGTGTGTGTGTGTGTGTGTGTGTGTGTGTGTTAAAGGCCCAATAAATGGTAGCTATTATTGACTTGTGTTACTTACTTGGTTAGCAGACGATGGCTGTCTTGTTCTCAGTGTGACTTTATTCTAGGAGGTGGAATTTTACTGTGTTGTTTTTTCATGAAGATGTGATGGCAGAACGAATGTTATCCTCAAAGTTCAGAGCACTCACAGAGCCTCTAGGAATCAGGGATCAATTCTCTAGTCCTGCCTTTTACGTTCCTTGTTGCATTTTCTTTGGGTCACTTGCCCTGAGAAGGTCACAGGTAGAGAGAGAAGAGACAGACTCTAAAGCCGTCGATCCTTGTTCATCAGTAACTTTGCAAACAGTTTGAATGTTGGGAGAAAGTTGAGTTTCAGGTTTAAACAACTTGGGGGATTATGTGTGGATTTCACTTACCCTTTACGGGTCTGCAGGTACCTGAGAGTTGCCTGTGTGTGTCCCGCCTGCCAGCCTGTCGCCGTGTAGCTCTCAGAGGGCAGAGCCATCTATCAAAGCCGGGCCGGCCTC